GGGGGGGGGGAAATTTCTACAAGGCCTTGGAAAAAGTGCAACTGCTCATGTGATGTTCCTAAACGAATCAAGCCAACAACTCCCAGAACCACCAAATCCTCCCAGCGAGCATGACTTGTAACCACGCTGGCTGCGGATTCTGGGAACTGTAGTTCAAAGGTAATAATGCCACACTCTGGCAATAATTTATTGAGGCCACCTCCTCTTTCTCCGACGGTATCGTGCTTTTCTTCTGTGAAGCTCAGGAGAAGCTGTAATGCCATTTCTTCCCTTTTCCTAGACTTTTCTCCTCCCCCACTTCTATATTGTTTTCCCTTTCCTCCTCCATTAATCTATCCCTCCTCCTTTCTCTCCTGTTTCCCACTGATGCGAAAGCACCGCTCCCATTTAGAGCTAATGGCTTTTACCTGCTAATGGCAGAGCCGGTCTGACTTCTCCTTTGCTATTAAACTGACCTGAACTTTTCTATTTCCTGAGTTCTTTGATGTAGCTCAAAAGTTCTCTCTGGCCCACACCTGAACATTGCAATCTGGTCTACTACCAATGCCGCCTTGGGCTTCAAACTCAGAATCAAAGGCCCCTTTTCTAGGGATTCCCTCCAGCATGGGTGCATATATCCCAGCATCAGCATGTTCTATGTGGCACATTGGAGATTTCTATTTGGGTCATTTCTTTCTTTCTTTTTTTAATACTAATTACTTCATAAATTAAATAGGTAGAAATAGAGATTTTTTTTAAAAGAATGTGGAAGAAAGCAAAACTGACGTATCCATCTTTACATGATGTGGAGGTCGGCAGATCTTTCAGCTACCTGAAAACATCACTTTCTCGGTAGCCGACAGTGAAGGGATTTAGTCCTGGACTACATTTAAGGTGTAACTATTCTTATTCAAACCTCAAGCTAGATCTGTATATGTTACATTTGTTGTTGCTGTGTGCCTTAAAGTTGTTTCTGACTTATGGCAAGCCATCATGGGGTTTTCTTGGCAAGATTTGTTCAGAGCGGGTTTGCCATCTCGGGCAGAGAGAGTGGGACTTGCCCAAGTTCATCCAGTGGGTTTTCACAGCCAAGCCAGGATTCGAACCCTGGTCTCCAAAGTAGTAGTCCAATGCTTAAACCACTATACAACACTGGCTCTACATATTATATATCTGGTTGTTAAAGGGTAGAGGTGGGCAAAGTTTGGCCCTCCAGATGTGGTTGGACTGGAATTCCCATCAGTCCTAGCCATCACTGATAATGGAAGATGTCAGACACTAAAACACGCAATGGTCAAGTTCTTGTTTGAGAATGGACTCCTCAACTGAGCAGATTGGGGCTTGAATTAACTCATTTAAGTTCAGTCACATCCTGAGCTGATTCCTGATGTCATTGGGAGCACATCCACAGTTTTTATTATCCTTGAATAAAACACACAATTCCATTTGCAAAGGCAGCAGTGGGGAAATGTCCCAGCTACAGAGACATTGGCTAGAATCTTGCACACATGTTCCCCTGTGGAAGAAGTTGAACATTTTTGTTTGAGACAGGATGGCTGTATTCTGTTTAAGGTTCTGGAAGGAGAATTTTGCATTCAATGCCATTATGCAAGGCATTCGCATTATGCATGGTTGCACATTGTGCATTGTGCATAAATGCACATGCATGTTGCCCTCAGATGCACATTCCACATGCACATCTGCATGTGCATTTGGTTGCGCAGCATAACAATTCACTAACAAGGTGCACAACTGTGGCATAACTTGGTAAACATGAAGATATGCCCCACTTCCTTGGTGTAGGATCCCAGCCATTGATCTTAAGGCCAGGGCCACCCATGTGCTGATCCAGGGAGATCATTTATTATTTCAAAGCAAAGGGGACAAAACACTGGTTTTCTATTGCGGCCACACATTCTGAGCTTGCCAAAAAAAAAAAAAAAAA